CTAGCCTGGTGCCGGTCTGACTGTTCTCTGGCCTTGGCCTCCTGAGCATCCTCCCTGGGGTGGGGGTGGGATCAGGGTAAGGTTGGGGTTGCCTTCTGGGACTCCTCAGGTGAGGGGCCCCTTCCCAGGAGGGACCACCTCCTCTCTAAGCAGGAAGTCCTTCCTGCAGTCTAGCCTCGTCATGGGAACTTCAGGCCACATGGAAAACCTGATTCCCTCCCTGTCCCCACGTGTGGGCAGAGCGCCCAGGCCACCCGTGCGCCGCCCGTCCCTGCCCTGTCCCTCAGGCCCTGGCTGCCCCAGGAGGCTCCCCATTCAGACAGGCCCGGCACAGAGCTGTGCGTCCTGGCAGCGCCGAAATCATTAGCGCCACCAAGATCAGCGGGTAATCTCCTGGCTGCACTGGGCGGTGCCAGCGCCAGGATGCGATCCCGCGGCTCCCTGGCAGGGGTGCTGGCTCGGGGACAGGGGCGTGGCTGGGAGCCTCCCCAAGGCCTCCCTGCCCCCTGCCCCAACCCCCGCCCCACCTCCCTTTGCTCATGTTCTCTCCAGAGTCTCTCAAAGCCCTTGGGAGAGAGGAAGTCCCCCCGTTCACAAAGGAGTTCCGCAAATGTAGGGCCTGCAGCCCGCCTGGTTTGTTCTGCTCAGATGCAGGGACTCCCCCAGCCCGGGCGGGGCTGGGTCTCCTCTCTGGACTTGGAATCCCCCCAGGGAAGGGGCAGGCAGGGGTCTCTATCAGGGCCACAACCAGGAATGCTGGGTAGGGGGCTGACTAGCTGCCTGGTCCCTGGGGCCTGTGGAGCCTGGTTCTGGGCCTTTCTGGCTCCCAGGGCCGGGCTCTCCGGCACCCCCTCCCCCCCCGCCGACAATGAGCTCAGCCTAAATGCATGAGGACGAGGTTCACCCTGCCCCTGGGCAGCAGCTCCAACACCAAATTTGTTCCCAAGCAGACAACGGGGCGTTGAGCGGTCACTGCGTAAAAGCAGGCTGTGTCAGGACCAGACCCTGCACTCCACCCGTGGACGCCGTGGCTGCCACCGGCTGCAGCATCCGCCAGTTCTCAAGCTCCGGCTCCAACAAGGGTGCGTGCGTGCCACACGGGGGGTCCTCCTGGACTTCCTGCGCCCTTGCGGGGGGCGCCTGCAGGGCCCCAGCCTCCTGGGAGCTGGCAGCTGTGGCAGCATGTCCGTCACCTTGTCCCGCTTCTCAGCAAGCTTGGGGGTGGCTACGGTGGGGGCTACTCCTGCAACCTGGGTGGGGACTTGGGCTCCAGCTTTGGCGTCTCGGATGCCCTGCTGGGAGGCAGTGAGGAGACCGTGCAGAGCCTCAGCCTGGCCTCTGATCTGGACAATGTGTGTGCCCTGGAAGAGGCCAACACTGACCTGGAGCCGAAGATCTGTGAGAGGCACCAGAAACAGGGCCCCGGGCCCGCCCACGAGCGCAGCCCCTACTTGAAGATCTGCGGGGCCAGGTGGGCGCGTCCTGCCCGCACCTGCTCTCCTCGGCCCTTCCTGTCGGCTCTGGCTCCGTCCATCCCCGCTGCAACCTGCGCCCATCGTTCAGTCTCTCCTTCATTCACTTCCTTGCTCCGGACCCGGCCCTGCGGCCGTCTCTGATCCCAGGCCTGGAGGTTGCCAGAGCAGACTGCCCTTCCTGGGGCCGCACTGGGGCAGGTGCTGGAGGAGACAGGGGAAACCTTCGCAACCATGGTCTAGGTGGAGAGCAAGCGTGGCCACGGTGTGGAGATGGGGTGGACCCGGGTGGCTGCTGGGAGACGACGCTGGCTCTTCTTTTGTAGATTCATTTTCATTTATGAGAGCGAGAGCGAGAGCGAGAGCGAGCTCTTGCAGCCACTGATCTACTTCTCAAATGCCTGCAACAAGTGGGGCTGGGCCAGGCTGAAGGCAGGAGTCTGGAACTCCGTCTGGGTCTCCCATGTGGGAGGCAGGGACCCAACGGCTGGAGCCCCGGGTGTGCGTTAGCAGGAAGCTGGAATGGGAAGCGGGGCTGGGGCTGGAACCAGGCGTTCTGATACGGGACGCAGATGTCCCAAGCAGAACCTTCACTGCTGCACCAAACGCTTGTCCTGAATCTCTTGCTATTGCAATCTGCTCTAACACTGCTGCCCTACCTGTCTCACCTCCTCCAGGCAGTCCTCCTGGATGGATGGCACTTGCCTTCTATCCCCAGACCTTGGGGCCCCTCTGACATTTTGGGGTCCAGGCTATGCCCTGTTCATCGTGTTCTTTATAGTCTTCATGGCCACTTTTGTCATGGGTCCCCCATGCTCCCTCCAGGATGGTCATTCTGGGGTCGGGTCTCCCCTTGCTAACTGTGGAATCCCTGAGGTCAGGAGCTGTGCTTTTCCACCTAGACTAAGCTAGTCTGACGGAGGAGACAGCACACACCCTCTCGTGCCCCCTAAGAACAAAGGCCTTGGCATTCTGTAGAAGTAGCCCCTTGGATCTTCTGCACAGACCTGCCCTGTGTTGCAGCCCCCAGGGGGAGGTGAGAGTTGAAGGGGTGAGTGGAGCAGGCTGGGGCCTGGCTGCCCCCCAGGCGGGGTGGCCTGTGCAGCTTCCTGGGTGGAGAGTTGGGCTTGGAGCTGCCCTGCGAGGGGCTTTGCCTGCTCCTGCCCGGGACCTCCACCGGGCAGGGGATTCCTGCAGTTTCCCTTTGGAAGCAGAATGCCTGGCGGTGCCAGATCAGATACTGGGCTTGGTCAGGCGGCGGGGAAGCCGGGCAGCCCTGGTGAGTCAGCGCTCGGAGCTTTGGGGTCAGCCAGCTCCTCACCCCCGGCCCCTGCTCCTAGGGCGCCACGTGCCGGGCTCCTCCCCTGGACCCACAGCCCCCTCCTCACCCAGGCTGGGCTGCGTCCAATCAGCCTCCAGAGCACAGAGGCGGGTGTAGGCTGCAGACTGAGGCCCGGGGCGGTGGGGAGGGGTAATGCACCGGCCCTGGGCTCAGCCTGTTGGACCTTCTTGCTCCTAGGCCAGCTCCCCTCTACCCCGGGCTCCATGCCCCTGCTCCTGCTGGGCAGCCTGGAGGGGCCGGGCTCTCCTCTGCCTCCCAGCGCCCCCCCCCCCCAGCTGGAGCCTCTGGGGGCGTTTCCAGTGGAGACAACAGCCCCTGCTCCTTCCAGGGCCCCTCCCTTCCCGCTCTCCTTGCAGCCACCCAGATGAACTGTGGGAAGAGGGAACTTTGCCCTAGGTCTGAGGCGGGGCCAGCCAAAACCTCATCAGTCAATCAGCTAACTAATTAATCATTTAATTAAGCAAAGGTTCCCTGGGGGCCAGCACTGGGCCGGGCGCCGTGCCCAGGGCTGAGGATTCCAAAGAACGAGACAGACATGGCTTTGTCCCCTTGGAGTGCAGAGTCTAGCGGGGGAGGAAAGAACCGGAAAGTCATGGAAATGGGTCTAAAATCACACAACCTGGAGAAGTGGAATGAGAGAGAGAGATGAGCAGGGAGAGGACACCGGAGTCCAGGAGGGCTTCCTGGAGGAGGGAGCACCTGAGCCTAGAAGTGCATCTAGTTGGGAAAGAGGAGTGAGAGCGAGTAGGAGGTGGGTGCAGAAGTCTCTCTCCTGGCATCCCTGCGGACCTGTGCCTGGCATTGTAGCCCCACCACTCTGTGAGCCCCCCGAGGGTCTGGGGTGGGCCCCTGAAATTCCTAGCAGGGATCTGAGAGGAGACCACAGGGACCCTCATCATCCTCACTGGCAGTGAGAAGGGTGTGGCAGGGTCCCTCTGGGAAGCGTCTCTCCACGTCCCTGTCTCTCCCAGATCCTGGCAGCCTCGTGCTGCAGATTGTCAGTGCCCACCTGGTGGCTGGCGACTTCGATGACTTCCGCACCAAGTGGGGTTGGGCTTCTGGGCTGCCCCGGGGCGCCCGGAGGTGGGCCCTGGGCTCGGCCTGCTGCGGCTCTCCATGACCCACACCTCGCAGCCAAACCTGTGTATGAGCTGTGCAGGGTGCTGGACAAGCTGGCCCTGGCCAGGCCTGACCTGGAGGTGCAGATCGAAAGCCTCAGGGAGCAGCTGGCCGACCTGAGGAAGAGCCCCGAGGAGGCGAGGCCAAGGCAGGCCAGACACTGCTCCATCCGGTTCCCGGCTCTGGTGGGTCCCTGACCCTGCCCTGGCCTTGACTCTGACAAGAGGTCCCTCTTCCCAGAACTATCACCCTCGTCCCTTGAGGCTCAGCCAACTGTGTGGTGACACTTAACTAATGAGGGAGTGAATCTAAGAACACACAGTGCTAATTATTGTCATTAAGGCTTATAGCAATCGTCATAGCAACAGGGACACTGGCCCGGCTTGCGGCACTTCCTGCACTGGTACCCGCAGCCCGCTGGGAGAAAGCCACGTGCTTCCCTCTTTACCATTGAAGAAACGGAGGCTCAGCGGGGTTCAGGATTTATCCCAGGCTGCACAGCGGCTTCCCGTCAGGTGCGCGACCAGGTCTGACTCCACCTCCCTGACACCTTTCCTGCCTCCTTTGCCAGAGAGCTCCTGGGAGCCCCAGGCTCACCCCCGGGATTGATCTAGGCTGTGCTGGGGGCCTCAGGAGGCCCGGTGTCCCCCTGTACTGTGCCTTCCCGCTCAGCTGACCCCGGGCTGGCCTGAGCTGAGGGCAGGGGTCTTGACTTTGAGGTTGGCTCCACACTGCTTCCCTCCAGCAGGGGCCCAGCTCTGATTGCAAGGCTGTGCCTTGGGGTGGGCAGTGGGGACCCGGTGGTCAGGGCGCTGAGTGCAGTTGCCAGTGCTCTCCTTTGCTGTGATGGGGAGAGGACCCCTTGTCCCCTCAGGGCGTGTCAGGGAGATTGTTGATTTCCGTGGCCCCTCGGTGCGAGATCTGACAGCATCTGCCTCCTGACTTCAGGGTGAGGCGCTGCTGGCCTGTCTGTCTGTCCATCTCTGCACTAGTCTCCCCAAGACAAGCTCCAGGGCCTCTTCCCAGGGTGGCCCTGGGTGAGCTACTGTTCTCTCTGCCCAGGAAATGACCACCCTGCAAGGCCAGGCGGGCGGTGACGGCAGCGTGGAGATGGACGCCACCCCTGGTGTGGACCTGAGCCGCATCCTGAACGAGATGCGTGACCAGCACGGGAAGGTGGCAGAGAACCTCAAGGGCGCCAAGGACTGGTTCTTCAGCACGGTGGGCGGCCGTGTGGGCGCAGGTGCTGCGTGCAGGTGCGCCTGGGACGCTCGCAGACCTGCTTACTGGGCCAGCTGGAAGCACTTTCGGAAACCCAGCTGGGCCAGCCACTGCGCTAGGTGTGAAACGTGGCAACCAGAGAGGCTTGGGGAGGAGGTCCAGGTTTCCACAGCTGGGTGAGGGCTCCCCTCCACGCGTGTTCCTAGGGCGTGTGTATTTGTGTCCGGCACTCTCATCCCTGGTAACTCATACCGAGGCTCCGTGGAGTCCCAGGGATGGTGCCCGGCATGGAAAGGATAAAACTGGTGCCTGTCTCTGAGCGCTGTGCGTGGCAGGAACCACGATTGCAAGTGCCTGCACAATCGCAAGTAGATTCCAGAAGCTCCACCATGGGCTTGAAGGTGACTGAGGGCAGGAGCCTTTGGGACCACACAGACCGGGAGGGGGGCGGGGTAGTTCTGAGAGTTACCCAGGGTGGGGTGCCCTGTCCCTGCCCCTGTCTTGCAGATGGAGGAGCTGATTTGCGAGGTGGCCCCCGACACCGAGGGAGGCCCCACAGAGCAGCGGTGCCGACGTCACCGAACTCCGCGGCTCTGTGCAGAACCTGGGGACGGAGCTCCGGTCCCCGCTTTGCACGGCAAGGCCTCTGTCCTCTTTGTCCACATCACCCCGGGGTGATCCACAGCCCCACACAGATCGGGCCCTCTCTGGGCTGTGCCACCTCTCTCACAGGCCCCAGAAAGTGTCGCTGGAGAACAGCATGGCCGAGATGGGGGTGCGCTACGGGGCCGGGGCGCAGCTGCAGGGGCTGATGGGCGGCGTGGAGCAGCAGCTGTGTCAGCTGTGCTGGGATGCGGAGTGGCAGAGCCAGGAGTACCAGGTGCTGCTGGACGAGAAGACGCGGCTGGGGCCGGTGATCGCCGCCGCCCGCCGCCCGCTGGAGGGCGAGGACGCCCTGCGAGTGGGGGCTACGGCTGCTTTCCCCAAAGGCCATGAGGTTTTCGGGAGGTGAGACTGAGAATGCAGGCTGGGGTCTGCCCAGGGTGGGCTGCGGGGAGCCAGGGAGGGAACTGCCAGAGGCGGGGTATGCAGAACGTGTGCAGAGGTCAGGGTGGGGCTGGGGGGCCCCTGGGGAGGCTGAGGAGCTCTGCGGGTGGGAGGGGCTGGGGGCGGGGAATCGAAGGCCCTGCCCGCAGAGGAGAGGTAGAGCTGGAAACAGCAGGCTGGGTGCCTGGCCCTGGTGGGAGTGGCTCACAGTCAGGGCTCCATAGATGCTGAAAGAACACACGGAGGAGTGGATACCTATGACCCCGGTTTCTGGCTGGGATGACTGTTGTTGGTGACGCCCTTACCCAGGCTGTGCTGTGGGGCAGGTGGGAGGCCGTCTGGCTCGTGGGCCGGTGGCAAAGGCTGAGAGCGTCCCGAGTGCTTAGTCACGAGCTCCAGAGTCTTGCTCCATGACCATGGCGGAGTCCATCTGCAGTCTAACCACAGCCTCTCTTGCTTTAACCGCCTCCTTCAGTTGGGCCCTTCAGGATATGGAAACATAAAACCACTTGCTTAGCTTCTCCTTGTAAATCCTGGCTTAGGAGCCGCAAAGTGGCCACAAAATGCCACCGGGCCTTCTGCCGGGCTGGGGCTGGTCTCGCTGCTCCTTGTGACCGTTGGCCTGAGCTGTTCTTTTCTGCGCACCCCCAGCTGTGATTTCCCTCTCCCCTCTGCCCAGGCCACCCCAGCTGCTGCTCCTCCCCAGCAGTGCTCCCAGGGGTCCAGGCTGGTCTCCCTCCCTGTAGCCTGGCCACCAGTACTCCTGGTCTGTGGTTTCCCAGCCCACCTGGGAAGGTAAGAGCCGGCCCTGCCCTGCTCACAGGAGGGGCCCTGTGGATCCAGAAGGAAGGAGTGGCTGAGAACCCCTCCGGGTGGGAGGGGAGGGGACCTGCTAGGCTGGTGGGTGGGATAGGGGCTCCTACCTGAGGCTCCTGTGCCCCCGTCCTCCTCCGCCTGCAGTCGTGGTGAGCAGCCGCCAGGACTGCACCGTCATGGAGGAAGTCCCGGCCAGGTGGTCTTGTCCCACAAGCAGGTGCACTGTGCACCCACTGAGGCCCCTTCTGTGTGACAGCCTGGCCTGCCTGGAGCACCACGGGGCAGCCAGGGCCCCCAGCTCCCAGCCCTCGCTGCTGTGCCCCATGTACCCGTCTGCACCCCACCCACGAGCTGTGGCTTTCTGTCTCCACTTCCTGCAGCCCCCACCCAGGGGGCCTCCTGGGTCTCCCCCAGTGACCACGATTCAAGCTTGGCCTGAAGTGCAGTCCGCGTGTGATTTGTGGTGGGCGCTGCGGCACTGGGGGAGGGGGAGAGGTTATTGATCCTCTGCGGTCGGCTCGCCACTGCCAGGCTGCCCGGCCCACCACGGGGCCCCGGGCGGACGCGGGGGAAGGAGGCGGAAGAATTGAGGGTGGAGGCGTGGGACCGTCTGCCAGGCCAGGGAGGTTTCTAAGAATCAGTCTGTGGGTCCCTGATTCTGTGGTTGGCCCCACAGACTTTCCGGGGACCACACCTGTTACACAGGGCTTCTTGCCTCAGCCCAGGGCGGGTTCCAGAGCAGAGGGAGAGGGGCTGGGCAGGGGGGTTTCCACAGGACCAGTCCAGGGCCCTGATGAATGACAGGGGGCGGCAGCAATGAGCCAGCCCAGGGAACCAGACCGGCTCTGCCTGGCTCGGGGGCGTGTGCGAGCGTGGGGGGCGTCCTGTTTGTTTTGGTGGCTTGGCAGCCGCGAGGTTCTTGGGGAATCTCTCGGCTGCTGGCGGGGGCTGTCTGGGCCTGTCTGGGAGGTAGAAGCCATCGGCAGACTGAAACACGACCACATTCCGCCCAGCAGGGCCTGCCGGGACCCCGGGACCCAGGCACGGCTGGGGATGGGGTGCAGGGCGGGGTGGGCCCTGGGGTGGGGCGTGCAGCCCGCCCTGGGAGGGGCTCCAGGAAGAGCCTGTCTTTAGGCTTTGTACCCCTCTCTGAGGCCTCTTGGGTGTAGAAGGGGGAACAGATCTCCTGTTACCCCCACATCCCCCAACCCCGCTCCCCATCCCACAGCCAAGCACCCCTTTGCCTGCCCCAGCCCAGGACCCCCACCTGTCAGAGGCACATAGGGAAAGGCTTGCAAGAGGAAGCTGGGCCACCCAGGGGTCCTAGGGATGGGACGGGGTCAGAAACCTGACCAGATGGAGGCTGGGCCCCTGGGTGCATTCCCCGCTCCTGGAGCTCCCTGTGGGTGAAGGGGCAGCCCGCATGCCCCGCTGTGGGGCCAGGAGGGGCGGTGGATACTGCATCCGTCACCCCAGCCCCCGTTTCCTGCTCTGTGACCTGGGCTGGTGTCCTGAGGCTGCCGGGGCTCCCGTGTTGGGCGGTGGCCTGGTGGATTTAGGTCCAGTTGCCAGGGCAGGTGGGCGCTTGGTGCTGGGCCGCCCTGTGTGTGGAGAGGGCGGGGGCTGCCTGACTTCCTGCCCCATTTCTCCACCTGCCCCCGGCATCCAGGTGGGCTGGGCTGGGGTGGCAGCAGCCCGGGAGGGCTGGGTGACGGTGACGTCATGCCTGCTCCTCTTGTCCGTATTAGGTCATGGGAAAGCGTAGCTGGAGGGCCTGCCTGAATCACAGGTGACGGGCCCGGGACCAGAGACACACACACACGCACATGTAGCCGCCCAGCACAGGGGTTCGGCGAAAGGAGGCAAAGCCCCATGATGGGAGGGGAGGGGGCCGCAGCCACCTGGGAGCTGGCCGGGCGCCAGGGGTGATGAAAGCCCAGGGGAATGGAAACAGCGGAGCGCGCCTGTTGTAATCGCTACGCCCACTCGCCGGCCTATAAAGGGAGCAGGCGAGCCCCGGCAGCACCACGCACCTCGGCAACTCTTGCCTCCTCTCCAGCCCTCTCGCCCCACGCCTGCCGCCGGCCGCTGCTGCCATGACCACCACCATCCGCCAGTTCACCTCCTCCAGCTCCATCAAGGGCTCCTCCGGCCTGGGGGGCTCGTCCCGCACCTCCTGTCGGGTGTCGGGCAGCCTGGGCGCCGGCTCCTGCAGGCTGGGGTCTGCGGGCGGCCTGGCTGGCGCCCTGGGGAGCAGCAACTACTCCAGCTGCTACAGCTTCGGCTCGGGCGGCAGCTATGGCGGCAGCTTTGGTGGCGGAGACGGCCTGCTGGCCGGTGGCGAGAAGGCCACCATGCAGAACCTCAACGACCGCCTGGCCTCCTACCTGGACAAGGTGCGCGCCCTGGAGGAGGCCAACACCGAGCTGGAGGTGAAGATCCGGGACTGGTACCAGAAGCGGGCTCCAGGGCCCGCCCCCGACTACAGCCACTACTGGAAGACCATCGAGGACCTGAAGAACAAGGTGGGCTTGTTGGTGCCCATGACTTCTCCCCCATAGCCCCTGCCCTAGGTGAAGGCCTGGCGTCCAGCCGGAGGCCGCAGCAGGGCCTCAGACAGCTAAGCTGCTGCCTGCTGGGCCAGGGACAAGCCCCTCGGAGACACGCTTTGCCCATCACGAGGGGCCTTGCCACTGCGTGTGGTTGTCAGATAAAACACGAGGCTGCATTGGAAGGCTGGGCTGGCGGCGGGGTGGGCACTGGGTGTGTAGGTGCCTCCGTTGTCTGAAAGCACCTGCCGGGGGCAGCAGGCCGGAGACGGGGGTGGGGCCGAGTGGGGAAGGCCTCCTGTGTGCCTAGTCTGGGAGCTCTCTTGGCTTCGTCATCCCTTACTGCCCCTGAAGGTGGGGGCTCAGAGAGTCCCTGATGGGGGGAGCATGGCTGCTTGCCAGAGCCCAGGGTTGGGGCTTAGCAGGGGCGTGGCTTCCGGTGTGCTAAGGGCACCTTTAGCCTCCTTTGGGGGAGACTCTCAGGGGCAGGCTTGCTGGCCGTGCAGCAGGAGACTGTCACATCTTCTCCCCATCGCTGGCCTGGGGACACGCCCCTGTGCCTCTCTGGTTCCCTGCACTCCTGGGGGGCTGGGCCAGGCTCCAGCCCGTGGTGGGGGAAGCAGGTGGTGGCGGGTGGGTGGAGGAAGTGGTTTTCAGCCCCTCAGGCTCCGCTTGCTGCAGCACCCTGCAGGGGAGAGGCTGGGCGGGAAGGGAGGGGTCTGGGAAAGGCAAGGCATCCCACCCTGACTGGGGCAGGGAGACCACCTCAGAAGCCTGGTCTGGACTGAGCCTCTGCCACCTGACGCCTCCCTTGTGTTCCAGATCCTCACAGCCACCGTGGATAACGCCAACATCCTGCTGCAGATTGACAACGCCCGTCTGGCTGCCGATGACTTCCGCACAAAGTGAGTCCGGGCTGGGCTGGAGGCACCCTCCCCACCCCAGGGCTCCTGGGCTGCTTGGGGCAAGGTCTAGGAGTTGGGGAGGGGTGTTCCGAGGGGCTGCTGGGAGCTCACTTTTCAGCCCAAGATACAGCAAAGGTCACTGGGTTCAGACGGGTGTCAGAGGGGAGGGGAGGTGAGGTGGGGGAAGAGGAGAGAAGCCAGGAGGCCGGGTGGGTCCCACACAAGCCCTCAGAGCCCTGGCAAAGGGCAGGCGAGGGGTCAGGGGCTCCACCTGTGAGTGCATGCAGCCTGGACTGAAGCATCCGGTTCCCACGTCAGGTTTGAGACGGAGCAGGCCCTGCGCCTGAGCGTGGAGGCCGACATCAATGGGCTGCGCAGGGTGCTGGACGAGCTGACCCTGGCCAGAGCTGACCTGGAGATGCAGATTGAGAATCTCAAGGAGGAGCTGGCCTACATGAAGAAGAACCACGAGGAGGTGGGCAGGCTGGGGCAGCAGGTCAAGGAGGCTGGGCAGGGGGCGGCAGGGCCCTGGGGCTGGGCCAAGGCTGATGCTGTGGGAGGGAGCAGAGCAGGCGCCGGGCTCATCATTGCCCAGGGCTGCCCTGCCTGCAGAGCCCTGGCTCTGGGGTCCAGAGCCAGTGTGCAGGGCAGCCCCCTCCACCGCTGCCTGCACCTCAGGGGCCTCCAAGGGCCTGCAGAAGCCTTCCTGCCTCTGTTGGACTCCTGCCTGAGGGCTGGGGACAGATGAGGCCAAATCCTGTCTCAGCTCAAATCTTCACATCTGGACCTCGCAGAGATGTATGGGAGTTAGAGGAGGAAGTGGGGACACCGGCCTAATACTAATTAGATTTTATCTTCAGAGAGTCTTCAGTCTGTTGGGGGAGACATAGTCTAATGGTGGAGGCAGGGCCTGTACAGGGCAAATGTACAAAAATCATTGGGGGGGTCAGAAGGTAGAGGCTAAACAGGACAAACGAGGAGTCCTCATCCCAGACACCCACACCCACTGCCCCTCCTCCATAGGAGATGAACTCCCTGCGAGGCCAGGTGGGTGGCGAGATCAACGTGGAGATGGACGCCGCCCCTGGCGTGGACCTGAGCCGCATCCTGTCTGAGATGCGTGACCAGTACGAGAAGATGGCGGAGAAGAACCGCAAGGACGCCGAGGACTGGTTCTTCACCAAGGTATGGGCTGCTGCAGCCCAGAGGCCTTGCCCGGGCTGGGGAGGCAGGGCCCTGAGCTCCAACAGGAAGCTGAACACCTGGCCCCTGCGGGTGTCCCGGCCTCGGAGATGGGACCTAGGGATCAGGACCACCCATTGCATCAACAGACGTGGAGCTAAGCTGAACCGGAATCGGGGGATGGGTGGGGGGCGCCCATGGAATGAAGGCGGGAGCAGGGGTTGCTTCCACGCTCCCTGAGTCGGGAACGAGCGCCAGGACTGGGCTGGGCTGTGCATCCTGGCTGGCTCCCTCTTAAAGGGATTCACCATCAAACGCTAACATTTCAAAGGGCCAGCTCCTGGGCTTTGGGAAGTGGGAAGCTGGTGAGAAGAGGCCGTCAGTTTTGGGAGGAGGCTGGGAGGCTCAGGGGAGGCCAGGAAGGCGGCCCTCGGGGCTGAGGGGAGCCCACGGTGCTGGCTGTCTCCGGGAGGGGACTCAGGCTGCCTGTGCTGTCTCGTCTGCAGACGGAGGAGCTGAACCGCGAGGTAGCCACCAACAGCGAGCTGCTGCAGAGTGGCAAGAGCGAGATCTCGGAGCTGCGGCGCTCCATGCAGGCCTTGGAGATCGAGCTGCAGTCCCAGCTCAGCATGGTAGGAGCACCGCCAGGCCTGGGGCTGGGCCTGGGGCAAGCACAGAGGGAAGGAGCAGCTTCATCAATCTCTGACCCTCTCTCTCTCCCCCCTTGCAGAAAGCATCCCTGGAGGGCAGCCTGGCGGAGACAGAGAACCGCTACTGCGTGCAGCTGTCCCAGATCCAGGGGCTGATTGGCAGCGTGGAGGAGCAGCTGGCACAGCTGCGCTGTGATATGGAGCAGCAGAACCAGGAGTACAGGATCCTGCTGGACGTGAAGACGCGGCTGGAGCAGGAGATCGCCACCTACCGCCGCCTGCTGGAGGGCGAGGACGCCCAGTGAGTGGGGGCCGGGGCCGGGGCTGGGGGCCTCTGGGCTGGGGGTGAGGCTGTCTCAGACCCACATCTAATCTCTCTCTCTCTCTCTCTCTTTTTGCAGCCTGACTCAGTACAAGCCAAAAGAACGTAAGGATCTCAGTGCCTGAGGGCTGGGGGCGGGGTGCATGGGCCAGGCAACCCCCTGCGCACTGCTGGGCGGGGTCCCTAAGGAGTTCCCGGAAATGAGGGCTTAGGTCAGGGACCCGTTAGGGTTCAGGGTTGGGTCATGTGAGAGAGATGCCATCAGATCTGACGGGTTGTGGAGAGGGCAGGGAGCACCAATAAAGTTTGTTACCCTGGAGGTCCTAGTCTGATGGAGGAGATGTGGTCCTGGGTCTGGGACTCATCTGATGGGGTGACAGGGACACAGTCTCATGAGCTTTGCTCTTGAAGCCATACAGATGGGCAGGAGCAGTCCTGGCTCTGGGGCCTGCAGCCTGGTGGGACCTGGGGACCTGGTCCTTGCCCTCTAGACCCCAGTCTGATGGGGAAGATTGGACCATAGCCCTGGGTTCCCACTCTCCTGGGGGTGATGGGGGCCTGGGGGTTGTGCTGGAGAGCCCAGTCTGATGGGGATCAGCCCTGGAGACTGCTGGGACAGGGTTCAGGCAGCATCCTGTCCACAGGGGTCTGTCTACGTGGTCTTCTTACAGGCCACTGATGGGTCAGAGTTAAATGCAAGACCCATGCAAGGCACCAGTGGACATAGGAAGAAGGGAGGTTGTGGCAAGGGGAGGAGCGATGTGTGTCTGCTGTGAGGTTGAGGGGCCACCAGAGGCATTCACAGAAGCAGGGAGAGGACTGGGAAGAGAACTGGCCCCAACTCAGGGGGCTGGGGGCTGGGCAAGGGCCCCTCGGCCCCCCACCCACCTCCAGGTGTCTGTCTCCCCTGTAGCCGTGACCACCCGCCAGGTGCGCACCATTGTGGAAGAGGTCCAGGACGGCAAGGTCATCTCCTCCCGCGAGCAGGTGCACCAGACCACCCGCTAAGGACTCGTCTCCCCCTGGACAGTCCCCAGGCGGCGGGGAGGCAGACCCGCCCTCCACCCAGCAGCCCCTAGCCTCTCCAGCCTCAGTCCTCGCTTCAGTCCCTCCCTCACCTCCCTCTGCCTGACACCAATAAAGTTTGTTGCCTCACATGTGAGATGTGTCCTCATCTTGGCCACTGAAGTGGGCACTGGTGACAAAGGAGTGGGCTGGGAGGATGAGAGGGGCAGTCTCTGGACACTGGATATTGACTTGGAGGTCGGGGTCAGCTCAGATCGAGGTTGAGAGTGGACTGGGACCGGCAGGAGGGTGGCTCAGGCTGGGCTGGACCCCAGGGGGATGAGGCATATCGGGGTGGTCCCAGGAGCTCTGTCTTGTCCCGGATGGCTCCACGGCTCGGGAGGTCAGGCAGTCCCCTCCTTGAGCCTCATTTCTCCTCCATAAATGGACAAGATCTCTGGTGCCGGCCGAATCATCTGATCAATTGCTCCTCCTCCAGAGGGAGCTGGA